TTTTTTTTTTTTACTTTATTCCTTAATTGAACTTCTTTCTTTGACTAGTTTCATGTCCGATTTTTAAAATTTTCTTAGAATGATTCACGCTTTTAAGGATCAAACTCTGATASGATTAAATTTCATGGTCTGACAGAGAACTCCTGTTGAGAGTGMAAAACAGCTGCATCTGTTCCAGAATGCCACTGAACAGCAGAAGTAGTTTTCCATGGAAAACAGATTATTTTGAGGCACATTTGAGTTCTTGTTGTTCCTCCAGCAGCGCAGCCTGCCGCTCTTCCTCTCTCCGAACTTTGACCTCCGGGCCCATGTGGAGTCTCTGGGTCACGGCGTGGCCAGCTGCACGGACCTGCGGATGACACCTCGGCGCTGCGCGGGCTTCCTGACCAAACGAGGGGGGAGGGTGAAAACCTGGAAGAAGAGGTGGTTTCTGTTTGACACCGACCACAGGCGACTCGCCTACTATACAGGTTCGACTGGCTGGAAGAGCTGGATGTGTGCGCTGTGACTTTGCATTTGTTTGTTTGCGTGCRTGAATAAAAGGCTTCTTTGTGCTGCAATCTGAGCTCAGTAAAGAGAAGCCATTGTTATAAAATTAGATGAGGARCCATCTCTTACTGCACGTAGTTTATGTTTTACTGTTTGCTAAGGAAAAGCTTAAAACTTAAGAAATTGTTTTATTATTTTAGGAAAAGTACAGAAAATCAGTTTATTTACAAAAATTCTAAATTGTTGAAGCGGATGCAGAGCACTAGCTAAAATTGGCAATATGCTAGCTAAAATCACCATAGAATGTTTAGCAAAAAGCCAAAATTGACAAAGGTTGAAAAAGATAGCTAGAAGCTAAAAGTAGCAAAAAGCAAGYGACGATCTAATAAAAGGTTGTCTGAAAGCTTTATGTAGGAAAAGGCCACATTTATTTTGAAAATAAAGTTAAATAGGTGTAACAGTAGAAAAAGGGGCTGCAGTAGATTGGTGGTCAGCGCTGCGATCTTGTGCTCTTGATCAACCTATTTTTCTCGCAGCCCCCTTTTCTTACTTCCAAGCCAAGCTGAGCCCCACCCACCCCATCCCTCACTGCTCCCCACCTTTTATCTCTTAAACAAAATAAAAAGTAAATAAAATGAATATTTGTAAAAGGGGAAAAAAAACTTATACCGAAGTTTAATTATTCACATACACTTGATTTTTACGTACAAACAATAAATTGTTATTTTCACAACCTCTGAGCAAACAAGCCCCCCCTCTGGCCCCACCCATGTTGGGAACCACTACATTTGAAGCTTCACGATGAGCATCAATTTAAAACAATGTTTCAAATCTTTCATGTGATTTCACTGCAGAAGGGAGCACCTGAAAAAAAAATACATTTTAAAAATGGTGTGAGTGCTGAATCAGCAGATATGGCTCTTAAAGCTCAACCTGTATTTGTAATCTTTTATTTTTTGTTCTTGTTTGTCTGCAGACTGTGATGAGAGGAAGCTGAAAGGGGTCATTTATTTCCAGGCAATAGAAGAAGTTTATTATGACCATCTGCGGACAGCCACCTCTGTGAGTTTGAGCTTTTTTAAAAAAATTTTATAACGAACTGACTGCGACACATCAGGCAGAGAGGYTGGGAGTTTCTGCATCTGGTTCTTCAAAATCTGTCACGTTTCTTGGGCAAAAATTAGCAAAAGAGAGTTTAATGTAGAAGATTTTCACAAACTAACCAAACTTTTTATTCATTAGAAATACAACGTAGATAATAGGCAACCTAATTACTGCACTGCCAAGTTGTAGAGTAGAGTAGAGTAGAGTAGAGTAGAGTAGAGTAGAGTAGAGTAGAGTAGAGTAGAGTAGA